TAGGGTTTAGGGTTTAGGCAGAGGAATTGCGGTATCATAACAGGGACTATTACAACGAGTAATGAAGGCTTGCACTCATCACCAGCAACTACTACAAAGCCTCTGCGAGATGCGTCTGCTCGGGAGGTGCCGCCAATACTATTGTACGACACAGTATAAACCTTAAGGACGAAAAGTACCTTAAAAGTAGGGGCCCTATACCCTTATACTATGAATCCCAAAAAGGGTATATGAACCTTAAACCCTTTTAGGGCTCTTTTCGTCCTTGAGGAAGATTGCCATGTAGAGCCATGCTAGTCCGCACAAGAGACGCTTGGGTGAGCTCGTGAACCTGCAGTTTCTGCCACCACGCGAGGGACATGCAGGCACAGAAGGAATGATCACCACTAACCGTAACCCTTTCGAAGGAGCTGAGGCTAGCTACGGAGTTTGCGTTGCGAACCTTCCCGATGATGCTGTGCTTCACCATCTTTCTGCTACTACAAGTGATAGGGTCCAATAGACCCGAGGATCCTACGAGTAGGGTTTAGGGTTTAGGGTTTAGGGTTTTACACAGAAGATGCTTCTTCGCTCCTTAAAGAGATTGCAATGCTTCGTTACAGCCCCCAGTCTACTAGAGCCATGCTACATCCGGGACACCTTTGTCACCTGCGCCAACGCAGTGATTTCTGCTAGGCAGCTACTGTCTCTCACGCAATCCTCTATGTCGAGAGGGGAACTCCTCCGTCAGTGCCTCGGACAGGAGGCAAAGGCACAATCACTGCGCTGCAAACAGTAGCAATGGCCTACAGGACAGATGGTCGAAGTCACACTTGAGGCAATTTGTCTACAGTGCGAATGTACAGGGGAAAGCAAGATAACAAAGGAGCCTGACAAAATTAGAATAGGGTTTTGGGTATATTATATTAAATATTATAATAGCCCCCCCCAAAAAAAAAACAACATAGGTAATTGTTTAGGCCCCTATATATAGGGGTCTGAAACCTGAGCTCCGGCATGATGGAGCTTCAACTCAAAAGCTTCAAATCCTACAGTTGATGGACAAAATCCTGCATGACCTAAGTATATAGTATAGCACCATAATTCCCATAGTTTA